ACAAAAGGATGACTTCATGTTTTTTAAATGTCATCAGTGAATACGCAAAGACGACATCTCTGCCTCTGCTTTTTTTTTATCCACTCCCAGTTTGCAGGAAGTTTTTGTGCAGTTTGTTTTTAGCATTTTTGGTATGTTTTGAAGTTTTGGGAAGGAATCCTCCCTCAGTGGTTATTGGAGTGAGGAGAGTCTGAACCAATATTGCCTACGTCCAGGCACCTATTCTAAAATCTCACAGCATGCACTCTGTCATACAACCTCTCTGCCTTGTGTGCAGAAGCATTCTTGAAGACTTCAATTGATCTGGCACATGCAAGAGGCAGCGGTAGGTAGAGGAAGATAAACAAAAGTACATGTTGTGGGACTTTAGAATGGCAGCACCAAATTTAGAAATCTTGCAAACTTTATTCACCATACACATCAAAGCAACAGGTTCACTGCAGAAATAAGAGGGAAGGGCCCTGTGTAAGGTTAGAGTTGACCGCAGGGCTGAAAACACTTTCCGTGCCCCCATTGGACAGAGTTGTGTGCCTACATGACCAATAGGCAAGACCAGCACTGCCGCATGAGAGGAAGGGAAGCGAATCACATGCTCCCTATATTCCCCAAGTACCAGCTATGTCACTTTGCTTTCCCAGGTGAACAGCACAGCAGGGAACAAATAGAAGTATAAGCAACTGAATGGGGCCAGCATTAAAATGAGCCAGTTACTTGTGCTGCCGGGCATAGCACCGATTCACTTGAATAGCAAAACGGATGCACAAATTCTTATGAGCAGTTGGATTATTTTAGCTTAGAATGTCGAGAATTCCAAATATGAGAGCTTTTAGACTTGTTCACACCACAACTGAAAATGGCATGGAACATTGCTTCTATGCCTTATAGGACAAAATGTCAGAATGATCACCGATCCGTATTCAGTGCCAATTCAGCAACAACATGGCATGAGCAGACGGATAAATCTAATCAAATGGAAGTCCAACTTGGGGTGCGATACCTTAAGCAAAGTAACTGACTGAACACAGAAATTTGGCTTAATAAAAGGATAACACATTTGGGGTAGGCCTAGTCCTTCGGAATTACAGATTTACATTTTCCTGAGCAGAAGAAAACACAAATTGAAGGATTCAGACGAGATATGCTGAGCATACTGTACATGTATAGATTCCATTATGAAAAAATAGATTGATCTGCTTCTTCATTTCTTCTCAGCTGGCAAGTGGAGCCTGCCTATGAAACGGTTTTTGTTGTACTATGAAACCCTAAAAACCACAACTGGAGTATTTGTACTGTCAGCTAAGGAAACACAGTTGCATAGAACAAAGATTAAGACATTATGCATACACTGATGCAATAATCAATAGTACCAAGGTTATGATATAACATCTAGTAGCACCAAACAGCTCTGCACTAGACATATATTCTGTACTAGATCTCGACACTTTACAAGGAAGACTGTTGTTGGGGCACATCGGTGTGCACCTCTTACATTCACCAATTCATTACATCAACAGTTCCAAGGGCACTGCAAGAGATAGTTTAACATGAACTGACCATGTTCAGCCAACTGTGTGTAATCCAAAATCAGAGCACACCTCAGAGATTTTGGATCCCCACCAGTTGAAGACACAAACAAATTCCATGGAAAATCATCAAACCTGAGTTTTGTTCGACAAAGCATGCTATTTAAACATTTTGAGTTCTGTGATAATTCCAAGTTCCAATATGTGTTCTATTCACAGGAAGCGCCCATAAAGACGGAATATTTTTCATTAGGAACCTGCATGGAATTTGTGTTGTAGTTTCAACTTGGCTCGTCAAGCACCCAATACACAATGGATTTAACTGTTGAGCTAACAGGCTACTTGGCACATCTTATATAAGGCACTAAGAAAGTACTGTATACATTTAGATTTGTGAGTCTTCAAGTACTGTCCTATCCATCTCACATTACCCCATACAAATCTTTGGTTAGGATTTTTAAAGGCACATCTCAATAGACCACTAATGCAATAGAAGACCAGTAAAACAAAAAGGGAGCATTTCATTGTGGAAGGAAATTAAAAACATCACTATAAATGGACATTTTTGGGACGGCGGAGTTGAAAATAATGGCTTACGTTTCCTAATAAATTTGGATGCCATCTTTGGTAAAAACAAAAAGGCACATTGAGAAGTGAACACAAATTTGCCCTACATACCCAGAAATCCAGAGGCCAACAGTGTTAACACAGTTCTTTAAAAACAGCTACAATCTGGTATAAATGGGAATAAAAGGTAGTTTTTTGTTTTTCTCCAATCACATGGGATGGACTGTAAAGCCTAATGAAATGCCAGAAGGACATTACCGACATGATTACAGATACAAAAATAAATACAATGATATTGGCAAGAGTCACGTTAGAATTTAAATCACCCAAATCCTAATTTACGGAATATGACACAATGTTTAGCGGTCACAAAGTGACCCATGGCATTCCTCTATCGCATCCAAAAGTACCGCTCCAGTAGCTGTGACAACTCAAACTAGAAATCTCACTTTTATAGGTAAAGTCAGTTCCCATACAGCTGGTACTGAACTACATCATTCATGAAGGTTAACCAAAATAGTTCCAGCTGCTGAGTAAAGTAAGAATAAAAGGAATGGTCATTTAAAAGCAAGGAAAGTTGATTTTTACAGAGTTTTCCAGCTGCCATCTAGGGACGGTTTGAGGGTTGCGAGACTAGAAAGGGAGCGATTAAGAGCTTACCACAGGCTAGATGGGATAGCAAGAGGAGTGGCATGGTGCACTTTAAATACAGACAGCATGAGGACTGTGAATATTTTAATAGGCATCATTTACACAGTGTGTATGCAATAATATGGAGAAACAGTTTGTCAGCTTACTGAGAACCGATGACACAAATCTATATTAATACATACACATGCCCCCTTTTTACTATAACAAGGTAACAGGGCAATGGCAGATGCATTAAAAGATGTTACTGTAATGAATGGCCATTGGCACAAGACTGAGTTTCAGGTATAATGAGAGGCTACACTGTGTTTAATCGGCTTTCAATACAAAACCATGAAGGCCATTTCACAAAGAATCTTTTTCAAAGAGAATACAATACTGATTAGAAGAAGTGCTCCTAATGTTAATGAGAATTCTGAGTTAAAGGGAACCTGTACTGAGCAAACTTGCCGCAAATGCAGGCCTCCCCTTTTTAAGCATGCTCGTCGTCATGCTCATCCAGTGGCTTTAAAACCTTTTCCTCATTGACCCATAGCAAGTATTCACGTCAGCTCGACTTTGCTGGCAGGTCACCTGCTGCATGTCCCAGGTCACCAGCAGCCTGAGACAACCACCTGTATTTTGCAGGAGGAGGTTGGCAATGGCAACCTTCAGTATAGGATTACTTTAAGGGCTGTGCTTTTGAAGGGGACACACACTTTACAAACATGCTGGTGTAACATTCTACTGGACATTGTAAAGTAGAATTTCAATGGTTAAAAAGTGAGGCATAAGAGCTACATAAAGTCTCTCTCTCTTTGTTGGAGAACGCAAACCTATTTTGATGATGTCCTGTACTAACAAATAATGCTCATTAGTAAGTACTTTAGGTACTGACCCTTGACCTGACTGGAAGGTTATGTTGCAAGACACGGGCTTAATAGTATAAGGAATGGTCCCGTATACTTAGACAAATGAGACATTCATAGATAAATAAATGCAACAGCTTTGTGTTCAATTCTTACCTCTACTGCTGTAAGATATATGTCACCATTATCTCTAGACTAAAACTGGAACCTTGATCAAATAAAACAGTGCAAAGCAGAAATAAGTTTTTCTAAGGGCTTCAAATAACATAAAAGATGGTATAAAGGACCACTAAAACCAAACATTTGTATATAAAAGAGCCACTATACAAATCAAATATATTCTTACAGGGTCTCCTGCCATTACTTGAGTCATTTGAGATTACCAACCAGTGTTCGGTTTAAAGTCGTTAAACTTTTTTTTTTTTTTAAAAAGGTCTCAAAATATATTCTGTTCCCAAAAATAGTCCACCTGATCATTAAGACCATAAAACAACCCCTACACAAGGGCTTATAATTGAAGGTTTTGTGTTTTGAATACTTGATAAATTAAAAGTAACATTCTTTTGGGGGGAGGGGGGTGCTCTTTTATATGTGAATGTATTCTTTGTACAGTGGTCCCTTATGCCAATTTCAAAAGCTGCTGGTCCCATGAACATAGCCAAGATACCCGTCCATATCTACAGGGCTTTGTCCAAATACATAATCCTCTATGTAAAAATGAAAAGATGGAACTACAGCACTGGATCAAAATGTGTTTTGCACTAAAACAGCAAGTTATGTTAAAACAGCTGGCAGACTATGCAATACTTAGCATGGTGATGTTGCATATACAGTAACAAAATGAAAGTGACATTTGGGGAAAGTTAGGCATTTTCCTTCAGAAGACTGGGCAATGTCCACATCACCAGATCCAGAGTCGATAAAGGGCATCCATCCCAAAAACAACAGAATAGTACTATCTTGGCAAATGTAGGCAACATAGACTTGAATAACTGGAAAATCACAAGCACCAAAGCTGGCACTTTAATTGTGGTCTGTCCTGAAAACAGAAAAGGTCTCTGTGCCATCATGTCACCATGTCACATTTGTCTCTGTACAATTTAAGGCAGCTGTGTCAGTCCAAAGGCTCAGTTATCACAATATCCACAGGTCTTTGGAGATGGATGCATATTTCAGTAGATAGAAGTCTTCGGACTCTAATCTTTCTTATATACATAAAATTTATATAGGCCATAAAAAGCCATCACAATTGCAGTTTTTCTGTCACAAGTATTAGTCTTTCACCCATTTCTGGGTGTACCTGCAGAACCGAAATGGCTCTATGTAGCCTCATCTTTTTAGGATGAAGACATCAGTTGCATAGAACACAAATATGTGCCAAAGGCTGTGTGCTGGAATCCTTCATTTAGACAGAAGTTCATTTGTCCTTCAAAGCACAAAGTCATTGCATTCTCCATATGAGTCGAATTATATAACGTAGCACACGCAAGATAATAACTTGGTCATTATCCACACCCCTGTGCCGGTTATCCAGAAGACCCTAAGGTAAACAAAAGATACAATGCCAATTAGTAACATTCTTAAGCATTAGAAACGCGTTTACTACCATGCAGAAGATTATGGCAAAACAATATATTCACATAGAACTATCATTGTTTAAAAACACATTTTTTTAAAATTTAATATACCAGACTTTAGACCAGTGACGACAGGCTTTTGTTTCAGAACAGCTCCCTCACCCTTTTCCCTGCTGAAAGAAGCTAGGGCCTTCCCCACTGCATAGCATTCACCTCAAAATATAGGTTTGACCAATCAAAATCCTATTCAACGTGACCAACTTCAATTGTAAGGGTAAATGTCTGGCTGTATTATATGATCTAGAAATCTAAATATAAAAACAAGAAATAAAAAGGTTTTTGCTGCCAAAAGACATTCAGTGAAACTTTAAATATTTGGAGTTCAATATGAAACCATTCACCTTGTGTGACAAGGTAGAGTTCTTGCAGACAAAGAGAGGGAAAAGGTAGAGTTCTTGCAGACAAAAAAAAAATGGTGGCCATAAACAACCAGATTCAATGCCCTGGTAAAGAATAAGACGTTTAGGATTACCCAAGGGAGAAGAATTACTTCTTTCTAAAGTGGTTCCTACTGGTTACAGAGATGTTAGAACCTGTTCGGAAATCTTTGTGCGACCCTGGAAGATCATTGTCTACTATGAAAAGGAGGAAGTTACCCACTCACACACAGATAGGGATCATTGGGTGAGTGGAACAGCGATGGTTCCCAACACTGCAGCAGTTGGACATAGTTCTTCCCATTCTTTGCTCTGTCTAACTAGGACCAACCTCAGTTCCAACATCACAAAAAGTAAATGGCAGTCACTGCCAACATCTATTTAAAGTACATTTTCCAGTATTGCCTCTTCTACAGCAAGCCAAAATCAAAATACTAAAACGATTATCAATTTCACATTTTAGGAAGAATAATCGTCAGCCATGGGACCCCAAAAATAATTACCAAGGTAAGATTTAGCACTTATTCTCATTTTAAGGGAAATGTGTCAGGAGAGAAATATTGGGCTGCCATCGCCAACTTGTTTCCTGAAGGTAAAAGCTCTGTGGATTTGGTCCATATTCTTTCTAGATGGTAAAAGATCTGGAACAAGCATGCAGCCAGTAAAGAGTCAGCATGCTTGACCTGCATATGCGTTGCAGTTTTGTGATGTACCAAGCAGTCAATCAAACCTGTATTTCACAGGACTGGTTCTTACAACTTCACAAACAAATCAGTGACAGTTTGACTGTCTTTTCACCAAGACAGTTTTTGATAATTCACGTTCTAAGCCACTCTCTCCCCCCCCCCCCCCCATCA